TCATTTCTTCGAATTGGTGTGTTCGTTTCAGTATCTTTCTGTTGAGTTATTGAAGACGGTATGATATTCTTGGTCTGTGCATGTTCCTTAGTATCCTATATTTGTGAAAGATAACATGTTTATATCTTTTACTACATTTATCTCATTCAAACATTGTTCATAATGGTTCAATGCACGCCATTGATCCATTCTATCTCATGAACTTGAACCTTATATATATTTATATTTATATTGATGTATCATTCATTCTTGAATAACTACTCATACCGTAATAACAAACAATAAATAACAAATCTCGATTTCAGGAAAACTCATTGAATAATAAGCTACTGAACTTAAAAGTCTAGATGTGGGCGCCATATAGAAATAAATGGAATAGTGTTTTGTTTTGGGAAAATTCCGTAAGCGCATTGGTGAATTAATCAAAACAAAGTTGTTCCCTTTGATAGTGTTGACGAACATGTGGTGCACTCACGTGCTCCCATGTAATGTGTTATTTTGGTACACCAGCAGTGATGTAAAATGAGTACATTTGTCATGGAGGACCTTGGAGTGTAAAATTTTACCATGTTTGTGTATCGTAACTAGAAATCCAACTCCTTAATTAATTAATCACTTAATTAATTAATTTACTTGTTTGTTTGATTATTATGAAAAATACATGTTAATGCTCAGGACACTAATAGTAGTCTGAGGTCAATGGAATTGTCTTGAGTCTTGTGTGAGCTATGTAATAGTTGAACAAAGCATTGCCCCAAATGCTTAAAAGGAATCTAAGAATTTTGGAATTGCTCCGATAAAAAAGTTTATTAAATACAAAAAAAGTTGAATTCAAGAATTGTACTCAATAGCTTTTGGGACATTTCTGCAAACGTATGTCCGGTTGCTTGAGACAAAAATATGACTAACAAATCAAAATTAATATCAGAGTTGCGTGATTGTGCATACTAAAATATACATTTCAATTCAGTCACCAGTCACTTTCAATTGATGTTAACCGTTAAAAATCCGCATCAAGGTGACAGGAAGGGAATGTCATTTAGTTATGGGTGTTCAATATCCATGTAACTCAATAAATAAATTTATATTAAGTTCATCGTATTGCAGATTTAAGTTCTATGTGAATGTGACTGCCGTGTTTAGTAAAGACAATTACGTACCTTCTGTGTCTTCATTTTAGGATGATCTCGCAAGAATTGGTGTTCTCCAAATGAGATGTAAATAAAAAAACTACACATGAAACAATAACTAAGAGAAAGAAGAGCTTCGACTGCGCCATCGTCTACATGTACATATACCAGCGTATAGAGTGGCAAGATGATACGTGTGGACTGAACCATTATTTGTGAGGGGCAGATAGGTAGGAATATATTAACAAGTTATAATTCGTTTACTAATTTACCTGATGTTTATGTTCCACAGGAAGACACGTGTCTGTGTCCAAATCTTGTGTTTCTTTTTCAGAAGAATGTCTCCTCCTGTGTTAGCTTTATCCATCCACAGAAATAACAATCTCCGCCCAACGTTCCAACTGCCAAAAATAATGTGTAAATTTAAAAATGCAGCGCAGTCTCAGCTTCGTTTTCGTAATGGACCACAAAGGCGATGCACACAACACATCCATAATCGTCGCAACGCTTCGTTTTTACAATAGGTCTCACGACTGCACGATGAATTTTGAATTCTCGATATATATATCAAACATTTAAAATTAATACAAATGACGTTCTAATGTTTGGCAATCTACGCATGTAATATATTTTCTGATTGGTCGTGTTGTATGACAAATCACTTTCATACATCATTATTTATGTGACGTAGTACCCGTTATCAATTCACAATTGTTTACTTTGTATGCATGTATCGACTGTGTTTATATATTCTGGGTCAATGCATTATGTATTATTATTTTAGTACATAAATAATAATAATAACAATATTAAGCTTTGTTTGCTATCAGATGTGCACGGAATTAGCTGGGTTTAGTCTTTATTCTGTCCAATCACCAAATTGTAGGCTCATCTGTTGTGGATTTATGACTGACAGGGTCACTGTACGTGAACCAAATTAGTGCACCTTCTTCAGGATCTCATAATGTTTGAAATATACATGCCATGGTGTTATACAATAGATAGAACGTGAAATTAACCCGCCATGGAGTAATGTAATAGATATATAGAACGTGAAATTTATCTGCCATGGAGTGATGTAATAGATATATAGAACATGAAATCAACCTACCATGGAGTAATGTAATAGATAGATAGAACGTGAAATGTGCCTGCCATGGAGTGATGTAATAGATAGAACGTGAAATTTACCTGCCATGGAGTGATGTAATAGATATATAGAACGTGAAATCAACCTACCATGGAGTAATGTAATAGATAGATAGAACGTGAAATGTGCCTGCCATGGAGTGATGTAATAGATAGAACGTGGAATTTACCTGCCATGGAGTGATGTAATAGATAGATAGAACGTGAAATCAACCTACCATGGAGTGATGTAATAGATAGAACGTGATATTTACCTGCCATGGAGTGATGTAATAGATAGAACGTGAAATTTACCCACCATGGAGTGATGTAATAGATAGATAGAACATGAAATTTACCTGCCATGGAGTGATGTAATAGATAGAACGTGAAATTTACCTGCCATGGAGTGATGTAATAGATAGATAGAACATGAAATTTACCTGCCATGGAGTGATGTAATAGATAGATAGAACGTGAAATCAACCTACCATGGAGTGATGTAATAGATAGAACGTGAAATTTACCTGCCATGGAGTGATGTAATAGATAGATAGAACATGAAATTTACCCACCATGGAGTGATGTAATAGATAGAACGTGAAATTTACCTGCCATGGAGTGATGTAATAGATAGATAGAACATGAAATTTACCCACCATGGAGTGATGTAATAGATATATAGAACGTGAAATTTACCTGCCATGGAGTGATGTAATATATATAACGTGAAATTTACCCACCATGGAGTGATGTAATAGATAGATAGAACATGAAATTTACCCACCATGGAGTGATGTAATAGATATATAGAACGTGAAATTTACCTGCCATGGAGTGATGTAATAGATAGAACGTGAAATCTACCCACCATGGAGTGATGTAATAGATAGAACGTGAAATTTACCTGCCATGGAGTGATTTAATAGATAGAACGTGAAATTTACCTGCCATGGAGTGATGTAATAGATAGAACGTGAAATTTACCTGCCATGGAGTGATGTAATAGATAGAACGTGAAATTTACCTGCTATGGAGTGATGTAATAGATAGAACGTGAAATTTACCTGCCATGGAGTGATGTAATAGATAGAACGTGAAATTTACCCACCATGGAGTGATGTAATAGATAGAACGTGAAATTTACTTGCCATGGAGTGATTTAATAGATAGAACGTGAAATTTACCTGCCATGGAGTGATGTAATAGATAGAACGTGAAATTTACCTGCCATGGAGTGATGTAATAGATAGAACGTGAAATTTACCCACCATGGAGTGATGTAATAGATAGAACGTGAAATTTACCTGCCATGGAGTGATTTAATAGATAGAACGTGAAATTTACCTGCCATGGAGTGATGTAATAGATAGAACGTGAAATTTACCTGCCATGGAGTGATTTAATAGATAGAACGTGAAATTTACCTGCCATGGAGTGATGTAATAGATAGATAGAACGTGAAATTTACCCACCATGGAGTGATGTAATAGATAGATAGAACGTGAAATTTACCTGCCATGGAGTGATGTAATAGATAGAACGTGAAATTTACCTGCCATGGAGTGATGTAATAGATAGAACATGAAATTTACCTGCCATGGAGTGATTTAATAGATAGAACGTGAAATTTACCCACCATGGAGTGATGCAATAGATAGATAGAACATGAAATTTACCTGCCATGGAGTGATGTAATAGATAGATAGATCGATAACATTGTGCAGTAAACTTACTATGCGAGGATGCATCATAGCACTATGTGTCTATGGTTTTGTCATATTACCTCGAACCCTGCAAAGAGAAGTGTGCATGGAATTATCGGAAGAAACGGTGTGCATTGCCGTGTGATAACTGTCATAAAGGTGATTGACAGGTTATACTTGTTTTCAACTCTGGAAGGACAGTTGGAATCTACAAGGTGTGCTGTCATTTGAATAACAAAGGATGTTTATGAATCAGATCTACTGAGTTGCCTACGTGACACATCTGCTAGCAAGATTCTGATTGGCTCACTGAATCATGTCTATAAATTGGACAGACTGTGGACAGTTAGGAACCACCATTTCAACTTAGTATCCTGTGTGTTGCTACGATATTGTGAATCTAATGATACAGGCTTCAACCACCATTATGTGAGACTTATGTATGAACTCCTCTGTGATCGCTTGCTTCCAGTGGTGCCCTTCAGAATAACAGAATTCCTCTGCAAGCAAGACTT